GGCAAGGGGGACTGAGGGAACGGAAGGAGGAAAAGGTTAAAGAGCCTTAGGAAAAATGCATTGACGCACTACTAAGTAAGAAACCTTAGGCTCATTACCTGGAGGGAGAGAGCGGATAGTGTTGGATTCGGAGAGTTTCGGATCATACGTTGGAGGGAAGACATGAGGGGGAAGCCGTTCCATAGACGGAATGTGCGGGGGAAAAGCTGAGGCGAATCGAGGAGCACGATTGGAGGAAAGTTGGCCAGAGTGGGGATTCTGCTTGGTACTCTTTCTAGTCACACGGGCGGGGAACGAAATAGGAGGAACGAGGGAAGAGATTTGAGCGGTCGGTAAGGTTACGATGGGAGGATAAAGCTTCAAGAGAAGAGGATATGGCTGAATCACCGATGAGACGGAGAGCATGTTTTCTAATAGAGTCCAGGATAGAGAGGGATGAAGGAGCGGCTTCACCCCAGATATGCGAGCAGGAGTCAAGAGAGGGACGGATTTGGGTTTTATAGAGCAAAAGAAGGTGAGGGGGAAAAATAACGTTAGGCTCTGAAGAGCAATCCTGGTCTTAGGGAAGCTGACTTGGCCATGTTTGCTATGAGATTGTGCCATTCAAGGTTTGATGAAATAAAACTAGAGATATCCGATGAAGGAAGTAGCGTTTCGTTGTCGAAAGAGATGATAGGACTAAACGGTGTCAAATAATCTGTAAATTGTGTCAATAATCTGTAAATTCGTAATTATCCAATTGTGCTAATTGTGTTCCCCGCCCGTGGAGAATCTCTCTCTCCCTGCAGTTCCAAAGTAATTTGTGATACGTTCTGCCACCACCCGGAGATGGTTCGCTCCGAATAATCGTACCAATAAAATGAGTTGAGAGTTTAACCGCTACGAAGCGACACGGTCGCGTTCTCAATCCGTCTAAAATTCCGCATTGTGGGTCCGTTCCGAAGCATAGTTCAAATCGTCATCTGTCAACCATCAAGCTTCCCCTTTACGCAACCGGTCCAAAAATTATCAAACGGCTTGGTTTTCCTCGTGAAAAGGGTGAGCTGCGTCTTCAGGGAGTTGGACCGGACCAAATTATTTGAGCCCCATTGCAGAATCTTCTGGAGATCGCAATAGAATGAGGAGAGCAAGGTGCTTCGAGAGGACTTTGTTTGGGTAGAGGTCAGCTGCTTCGTTCGGAATCCGTGAGGATTCTGAGCATAGGCTCACCGAGAAAGGTACTCAGTCGGCAGGAGTCCACTGTTTGCAGTTCAGAGTTTGTTTCGGCACAATGTTCTGATGATCTCCGAGGGTCGAGGGCTGGCAGGGAAGATGCTCTCAGGAATGAGGACGCAAGGGATGCGTGTGACAGAAGAATCTGTACTTGATGTTTATTTGAATGCTGCCTAGATACCGCCTGGACTCCATGGGCCCCTACAGTGAGAAAAGAGGAGTTCTCCAGCAAAAGCTGATCAGTCTTTTTCTGTGACAATTGATCGGAGTTTTTGGCTCGTATACTGACGTGTCATAAACACTGACTTCTGAAAACTTTCAAGACAGTAATGGAAACGCCTTTGTTCACAGAGGAAGGCAATTTCTCAAGATTCCTCCATACTGCGGAAAGTTTTCGAGGAAGTGTCCAAAAATTGATCATAGCACCTTCCTTACGTTTAAATACGCTCAGTTTTTCTCCAGTGGGTATCCGTTTCCTTATGTTGAAGGACAGCCATGTCTCGACGGTTTCTGTCTCCCTTTGGAAGCTGTGTCGCTTGGGATCTTCCTCCCAGAGACGAGCTTGGAACCGAGGCGTTGAATGACGATCAAAACGCTGGTGCTGCTACTCGGCCGATCGTGATTCGGGATGAGGTTGTTCAACCGTCTGCTCAGATTGTTGGTCATCGGAAACGGCGATCCAGGAATGGCTTTATTCAATATGCACTCATGGTTCAGCGTGAGGATCGGCTTCGTTTTCAACAAGCCATCGATGTTGCTGGACTCATCTGGCCAGACGTGGATGCTGAAGCGTCGTCCGTATCGTGAGCAGGCCCTCTGAGAGCGCTCGCCTCCCAGGCCTCGTAACCGCCCGGAATGTGTTGCACGTAGGGAGCAAATGGAGAGGTTGATTTCTGAGCTTTCTTCTAGCCTGGGAAAACTGACTAAATAAATTCATTGTTTGTGATTGGTATGAAAGGGGTGCTTATTCCATTGAGTTGAGACAGACAAATAGAGGGGAGTCTTGAAACATGAGTTCCAAGAAGACGACGGTGGCGAAGACCGCCAAAACAAACGTGAGCTTCCTACGTTTTTTTGTTGTTGTTTCATGGGTAGATTATGTTCTCCCCATCACAGGCCCTAACCCTATGCCCTGGTCAGCGTTCCAAAAGCGTAAGATTTGGTCCGCGACCGAAACGAGATTCGATTGAGCTGAGGCAGGTGGAGCTTGGCGGACACAGACAACTCATCGCCGAACAACCCATCGCCGAAATCTCAACGCCGACTTCTCAACGCCGGATAGCTCGACGCCGGGACAACTCATCGCCAGACAAGCTAACGCCGGGACAACCTGACGCCGTACCATTCTTCACCGGTCAACTCCACGCCGAGAACCTGTCGAGTCCGGTCAACTCAACGCCGAGAACCTGTCGCGAACTCGATCCTAGCTCAGGAGGCACACTGCTTGAAAATGATGCGTCCAGATGATTCGCTATCCCGAGTACACAGCTCGACGATAGGTACTTCCAGTAAATCCAAGGACCGTGCGTTTGCTCTGATTCTCGTGCAAAGCATGAAGAAACCGAGCAGTCCGCTTTTGGTAACGAGTGCGGAGGCAGAGCGAATTGCACGTGTCTTCTGTCACAGCTCCAAAACAAGACGTCGGCGTCACCTCCTGATTTGCACCGGGTGATCGCGTGCGTTGCCTCCAGTGGCATCAGGCCTCCACGTGCTGCCTGTCGTCGGTGCCTCGAAGAATTTACCGCCGACGGTTTGAAAGTTGAGTGGCGAGAGGAATAGAGGAGAGACAGAGGAAAAACAATAGAGATGAGTTGGTTGTAAGATCCCTCGAGTCACGCATCGATTGGAATGTGCAATAAATGGTGAGAAAAGTGAGAAGTGAAACACGGACATCTTCAGTTCAGTTCGACACTACCGAGAGCTAGAAACGACATGGCGCCCAACAACCACTGAAACGCACCCCGAACTGAGCTGCGGACGTAGTTGGAGCAATTTCCATCGCAATGCACGACCACGAGGATCAGGAACAACCCAAGAACTCCACCTTCAGGCAAGAGGCCAGTGCATCAAGGACGGAACCTCAAGATGAAGAGAAGAATAACAAACGGACGACCGAGAGGACGTTGATTCTCGAAGAAATTCAACAGTTGAGTGTGTTCTGTAGGGACATGCTGAAGAGCACACCCCCGGCGGATATTCCCCGGCTCCAGGCAGGTTTAGAGTTCCTTGAGGGTCACTTCGAGAAACTGAACAAAACCAACGAGATGCTCTGGTCCAGTATGAACGACATCGCAAGGCTCCGACAGGACAGAGCGAGACAGAACACATTCAATTTGGAAACGAGACTGATGATCTGCAGGATGCGGAAAGCGATCGAAGATCAAAGAAAGGAGGAACCGGCACCGCATCGGCGTGAAGATGGCAATCAACCGAGTGCGAAACAGAAATGCTGCGGAAGTTCGAAGAACGCTCGTAAACTGGAACATCTCAAAATGGATCGCTATGACGGTAAACTCGATAACTGGCTGTCTTGCAAGGGAAGTACTGAACATGCCCCACGCCGAACGGGCTGAAACTTCAGGCTTTTTTTCTCCTACATGGGGATAGAAGAACCCTAGAATATTACCTGCGTATGGCCACCCTGAGTATGTTCATTTGACTGACGAAAATTGGCCCTTCAGCATTGGATTCTATGGAGTCATTGCAATGCTATGCAGAATGATGATTATATGCTTTATTTCAAAGTTTTTCTGTAGATTTCTGCTTGAATTTGGCGCCAGAACTTGATCAATGAATGTGGTAGTCGACAAAGGAGCACTTGACGCAGAGCTCCATCTTGCAATGCACGCATCTAATTGTAATGTCGCTTAGTCTCTACGTGGGTAACACAGATGTCACGAACTGGTGTTGAATAGAGTTTATTGAACTTAGTCGGCTAGTCACTCTGGCACACACCTACAACTACCCTTCACGATTGCTTGCGCTCGAATGAATCTCTCTCTACTTCAAGTTCTGACGTCATTGATGCCGCCGTCACTAACTTCTCGCGCGATCGGCCGCCGATCGTCTCTCTAACGCTCGACTCTGGCGCCCTCTAGCGTGATAATCAATCCACGCACGACATTCGACCACGCTACCGCGCTGATCTCCCGGTGACGTCGCAATTGAGCGCGGTATGAATTCGAGCGCAGCAAGCATTCGATCACGGAGTGGTATAATAGCGCGGAATACGAAAAAAGCGTGGCGCGCATCTGAATGCGGCGCGAATTTGTGCGCGTCGTGAATCTGACCGCAGCGTTGATCTGAGCGCTTTTAGAATTTGAGCGTGGAGTAGGATGAGAGCGCCAAGTATGTTGAGAGCGCGGAGAAGACCGAGGGCGCGGAATAGATTGAGAGCGCGGAATAGGATGAGAGCGCATAATACAAATGGAGCGCGCAATAGAAATAGAACGCGGCGTTCATCTGAGCCGGAGAAGAGTTTAGGCGCAAGTAGGGTTAGAGCGCGTCATAGTTATCGCAGATACAAACGAAACGTAGTCGAGCCGAGCGAGCTCCTCTTCCTTATTGTAAGCTGACCCGCCAGTGAGCTCATCTATTCACGGATACCTCGAACTTTTGCGGGGACAAAATCCACAGTATGTCCGAACAATGATCGCAACTTATCACTTTTTTTCGCCCTATACTTGTAAGAAACAACACCACTCACAAGTGATCTTATCACGGATAATAGCTCGTCTTATTCGTTCTTCTGCACATACAGTATAGAACAGACACATCGGTTGATTTATTTAGAAGGTGATATTGTGCGCTACGGCCTCGAGATAATCAAGCTTATTCCAATCGACGTACTTGCAAACAAGAGCGCGGAGTCTGCCGTCGCGATCCCGGTATCGCTTCCTGGGCGCTCTCGGCCCCTGGGCGAGGAGATTAGTTACAATGAACTCTGTTCGAGCTTGCTCAGTCATCAGAACTTCTACGAACTTGAGGACGTGGGGATTGGAACCACCCGCTCTCTTGGAGAATGCTGAATGCCACGATTCGACGGTGTTATTTGTCCGTGCAATTCCATTCAGAACGGAATTGTGCGTATTCCACCACTCATGTTTCATGAGAGGTGCGTTGCGTTCGCGTCCAACCCACGTGCTCTCGAAGTAATTTATAAAAGCAGTCAGAATGTAATTGTTTTCCTTGACGAATTTCGACTGCAGGAGGGTGTTGAAGACGGCCAATACGTCGCTCGTCGGTACGAAGGATAGAGCCGGAAACATACGAACATTCAAGGCAAAGTCCAAATCCGCTGTGTATCTCCGTCGAAGATCGGCGTCTCTTTGGATCCTCCGCCATAAGCATTGATGGAAATGGAACATGCACCCCAATATTTCCGCTCCAGGGAACGCTCTTTCCAATTCTTTTATCATGCCGATCTCGAAGTCGACATGGACTCGCCGCGGAAGGGAGCCGTCCAGTGCGCTCGCGACCACATCCAGAAGTCGACGGTAGGTCGCCGAAGTCTTCGAGGGCAGCAGACAATACATGACTGGTACCGACTTCTTTTCGGGCAGTCCTACGTGAAAAGTATACAGCTGGTCGAAGAGCTTCGGGCACACATCAAATGTACCGTCGACAAACCACTCATCGTATTTCTTGAGGAGGTTCAAGTTCTCAGGTGTCGCGAAGACAAGAATCCGGTCAGCTTCAGTCTCGCCTGAATCGTAGAACAGAAAATTCTCCCCTTTTTCTGTCACCTATAAGAAGAGAGTATTTGTAATGAGTTCCTAGGTGGGAGGAAGGTCCGGGACAATGGCGCGGCGTTCCCAGTTTCTTTTGGAGCCCGATGTATGACTGGACTTCACATATGCATCGAGGAATAACTTTCAAGTTAAACAAGGAATATCGGCTGGCCGCTGGAATCGAACCCGGGACCTCCACAACTATGGTGGCCCCGCCATGGACCGCGACGGCATGCGTCGCACGTGCTAACCACTCGGCCGATCTGCGGAATAAACTGCCATCTGAGAATCGAAGTAAAGTATTCACAACAACCTTGAGTCTCTCCGGTAATCGTATATCCTCTCGACGTGAGGGATTGCATGGCAGATTTGTCTGACCACCGCGAGACCGTGATCGGTAGACTTTTTGTCGCAGAAGCTCAGTGCTCGGCATTCGGCCCATGACCGCCTTCGAAGTGATGGCTTTCAAATTTTCCGAGATCAGGGCCATGGGTCTTGACCACGATTCTCGCTGAGCACTTTCGTGCAATTGATTCAAGTTCTGGCGAACATGAATGTTCTCAGGGTCAGGCATATGGCTGTGCTCGGGTTTGCCCTAGAAATGGAGCGATCCTTCGTTTGGGAGCGAAGTGAGGATTCTCCGCTCGAAGCTTAGGTCTGAGAGACTTACCACGATCGAGTCGTTTTCGGTCTTGACCCGAGCAAAGCAGGTTTTGACCGTGCAACGCCAGTGAGTTCTCTCGTTGATAGTACGATCTTTGCGATAAACATACCCTTCATCACACAGGAGGGGCTTCCCGCGATTGGATTTCACGAAATTCAGAGGCATCACTAGGGTTATAGCTCAGGCGAGATCCAAGACTCGATGTCAGCAATCGAATCCAAAGGGGCAGGTGCCAGATCCGATGATTGCCCAGCTTCGTTGTGTTTGATCGTTAAGGAAGAACATGGATGCAGGTTCAATTCTCATGGGTGCTTGTGGCGGTAGATTCGAAGCGACAATGATCACTGGAAGAGATACGTGGAACTCGCCGAAGGAAATCGAATGGTGCCGACTGTCTCCATCGTCCCGCAGATTGATCCGGCACTTGAAGCCGAGTAAGTCAGAGATCCCCGTGAATAATCAGAGTATCTTGGCCGTCCTCAAAAAAATTATTGCGAGAACTCGAGCCTTGGACGTGAATGCCGCACGGATCAGACTCGAGAAACAATGAGACTCGAGGAACAGGAAAGCCACAATCCTGTTGGATGGAGAGGTACGATTTGAGAGTTCAGTCGAAGCGGGGAGTGCTCGGCTCCTCTCGTCAAGGAAGAGGACCCCGCTTTACTTGATCACCTGGTTACTCTTTCTTCCCTTGTCTCTGGAATAACTGATTCAATTGAACTTCTTCAATTTCAATTTTCAATTTCGAATTCAAAAACGCTCTAACTCTACACTCTACTCGCGCTCACATTAAGGCTGAGCTCTATTTCTATTCGGCGCTCTATCTCTGTTCCGCGCGCTTTTGACGTAGGACTGCGTCCTAGGTCGCACAGATACAGGGGCACTGCAGAAAGTAAACAAATGCAACGGAAGTAGTGTAACGGATATCGACCCGCCCACCAATCAGTGAGTCTCATCCAGAAGAGTATCACAGACCGCCACCGCCATTGGTCAATCCGTTCAGAGAAACGCAGCAGACGCTCCAACAGGCTTGAGCCATGTTGACCTGCAAGTACGTCGATTGGAATAAGCTTGATTATCTCGAGGCCGTAGCGCACAATATCACCTTCTAAATAAATCAGCCGATGTGTCTGTTCTATACTGTATGTGCAGAAGAACGAATAAGACGAGCTATTATCCGTGAGAAGATCACTTGTGAGCGGTGTTGTATCTTGCATGTATCAGGGCGAAAAAGGGTGATAAGTTGCGATCATTGTTCGGACAAACTGTGGATTTTGTCCCCGCAAAAATTCGAGGTATCCGTGAATAGATGAGCTCACTGGCGGGTCAGCTTACAATAAGGAAGAGGAGCTTGCTCGGCTCGACTACGTTTCGTTTGTATCTGCGATAACTATGACGCGCTCTAACCCTACTTGCGCCTAAACTCTTCTCCGGCTCAGATGAACGCCGCGTTCTGTTTCTATTGCGCGCTCCATTTGTATTATGCGCTCTCATCCTATTCCGCGCTCTCAATCTATTCCGCGCCCTCGGTCTTCTCCGCGCTCTCAACATACTTGGCGCTCTCATCCTACTCCACGCTCAAATTCTAAAAGCGCTCAGATCAACGCTGCGGTCAGATTCACGCCGCGCACAAATTCCGCGCCGCATTCAGATGCGCGCCCCGCTTTTTTCGTATTCCCGCGCTATTATCCCACTCCGTGATCGAATGCTTGCTGCGCTCGAATTCATACCGCGCTCAATTGCTACGTCACCGATCTCCCGATCAGCTACTCGGCTAATTCGCATATATCCATCCCCTTACAATACTAAGCTACCTCGCTTTCTTCGAAACATAGCATTCCTGGCTCGCTCTACTTCTTCTCTTGAAAACTCTGTGTTCCGCGATCTCTCTACTTCGATTTTATTTTACATAAATAATTCTCGGATTCGATGTTTCGTGTCTTTGCCGCACCCAGCTGGGCACTTATTACAGTAAACGTGCCAGTCTTCGAGGCACGCCCGGCAGAAAACATGCCCGCACACAGCGGCAACTGGGTCTCTCCACGGTCGTTTACAGATGGAGCACTTCCGCTCCCTTCTTAGAGCCTCGTCTTCGATCTCCAGTCGCCTCTCTACTTCGTTCATCG